TCATATCTATTTCTTGGTGCTGCTGAATCAGCAATGATTTGGAACGATAGTAAAGCAAATTTGATTAGAAGATCAACTTCCCAAAAATTTTATGGACAGTGACAATGGTGACACTGGAAATCCTGAAAAAAGCATTCTCTTCCCAATGGAAAGGGATTGGCCATAGTCAACCCGGTTGACCAAATGGTAAAGAGAAAGGCTAAGTCTGAGATAGTCCCATTACCAAAGGGTCCATATGTTTATTTTGCCAAAGGAAGGGGCGTTGATTGCAAAGCTGCCAAATTTACCTAAGGATGTTAAAGTCAATAAGTTTGACTCTACATCAGGTAGAGCCCATTATCTAACTCTGTTAAGTTCTATTCTGAGATCCTCATTACATGATGTGACTGGGTCACATGTTGATGTTTTAAGAATCAAAGAATAGAGAGAAATCTTAAAGGAAGTATATGCTGATTCTGATCGCGAAGGTGGATTTCGATCGCATCAGAATTTTGAGCAGTTGCTTAAGAAGTTATGATATATTGCTAAGGAATAGATAACAACAATTTTCCATGTGGATTGTAAGGATAAGTTTTTCCGCAAAGTTTTAAAATAAAAGAAAATTGTTTAATTTTATTTATTTGAAGTATCCTTACAATGGCATTTGTGGAAAATTGTTGCTTATATGATTCCACTGACAGCAATATTGGAAAATGGATTTGATTCTTTCATTTGTGGTAGTGTCTAAATTTACCAAATCAGGAAAGTTCCTCATCACCCAAGTTTCAATTGGACCGAAACTTGGAATCATGCAAGTTGAATAGTATGATGAATGAGAACTTTCAAGCATTGGAAAATCAAGACTAATTACTTGTTCACATGGATGTGTGAGTCAAGTGAAGGACTAAAGGGATCGAGTACACATTCTTGTGCACTGGTCATGTCCACCACAAAGCTCGTTAAGACTATTTGATTTACTAAAGTTTAGTAAATATGTTATACTTACAAGTTTAAGTATAATTCTGAAACATTGGAAAAGTCTCAATGTATGGCAGAACGAATGGGAAGAATCAAATTAGGCAGAAAGATAAAAGTTTCTCAAATCTGAAAAGATGGGAGAGTACTTTAGTATCATGTTTGTGATCATCTTAATGATTTAGAAATCATATCATAATTAGTCCTCTAAAGGTCATCTTAGTGCATTCTTATGACTAAGAAGAGGAGTCATGAATTGTTGAAATGGTTAGATCAGGAAGATGAGTCATACTTCGTTCCAAAACAATTCTTAGAGTCATACTCCAAGATTGTAACTTGAGTGACATATCTTAAAGAAAGGTTTAAAACACTTGTCAAATGTAAGAGTAAAAGTGTCCTACTCTTGTACATTTGAAATTGGTAAGTTGTGATGTTTTGGATAAAACAAAGACCAACTAAGGCCAATTGTGTGAAGTGTTTGTCTTGATAAAGAATCCGCACTATCTCTTGAATATTTGGCAAGATAGTCTTATATGTCAAGAGGATAGTGGGAGTCTTAAAGATCCTAAAAAGAATTTCAAGAACTAATCAAGAATAAAACCTGAGGTTCTTCACTAGCACACGACTTGAGGTTTATAACCTATCGTGTTGACATATTCTGTGCCCATTCCAGTTAAAGTTGGCTTTGCATAGGAGTTCTGAAAGTTCTCAATTGGTTGCATAACAACTTGGAAGCAATGGCAGGCCCTGTACTGCCAGGTGGCAAGAAGTTAAGATTGCATAAGTTCAGTCCATATGAGTTTGGATTTGTCATTATCCTTGTCTTGTGACTATGGTTTTGACGATTCACATGGATAAGAACACATACACCATAAAATCTAAGGGTCATAAGGTTTCTCTCCGATTCATGAAAATGATGGTGAGGAAACACTTCCACCAAGTAGATTTGAAGCAGATGGAAAAAGGTCTAAACAATTGAGACTATGATTACGGCATCCCTTTTCATAGTTCTGAAATTGTTTAGACACACATGCATGCTATCTAAGGAAAGGTGTATGATTTTGATAAAGTTTTATCAAAGCATCTCGTATCAGAAATCTGAACTTTGGTAAGAAAGTCAATAAAGTATTGATTTCTAGAAGTCCAGCTGATTTCTGAGTACATGTCAAAGCTAGTGGGAGCATAAGTGTTATGCTAATAATCATCATGTTAGTGGGAGCATGATAATTATTGTTAGTGTTGCAAGTTAGCAATGTTAATTATAGAAAACAAAAGTTTCAATTCGTGAGGCTGCAGGGATTGAAAAAGTTGTTTTGCTATAATTAAGGGAGAGGATATACTTCATTTCAGTTCTAAAGGCTTAGATTGAGACCTTAATCATCTTTAGTCAAGAATATATATATGAATTTCATGTTGGATTGGTTCAACTTAAGGAAATTCTATATATTGCGTTCTCAAAATTCTATTATGATTACGGCATCCCTCTTCATAGTCAAATTTTGAAAACATGGCAAATAAAAATATTGTAGCAAAAGACTGGTCTAGAATCATGTCTTTATGTGAGACATCATGAATCGTGTACCATTTGCTTTGGTTACAGGATCGATTGCATGTGCTATAATATTTGTCATTTCTAAATTTTTCCAAATGCCCAGAGGCATTAAGAAGGGAAAAGGTCTAGAATTAGATATGACTAAAATGATTAAGCAATTGTCGAGGACAATCTGAGGTTTACCAAAGATTGGTTGCTCAGGGACAGTTGGAAGTATAGTGCTAATTTTGGAAGGACCATATTGACATATTCTGAAAAGAGGCATCTCTTATTCAGAAGTGATAGTCAAAATGAGAATATGGAGTTGTCTCCATAGGTGGAAGTTATCTGTGTAAGATTAGAAAACTTAATGCAAGAAGCATGTCCAAAGCAATGTACTTTGAATATGAGACTTAGTTTCCATGGAGTTTATCTCCATTGGAATACCTTATAATGACTGTTGACAAGTCTTTGTGACTTTGTACATATTCATTACAGGAGGGTCAGTGCATATAAGTTTAAAATCTAAACAGATTTCGATAAATGATAGGAATTTGAAATTCTCACATTTTTCGATAAGGATTTGGGAGTGTGAAATTAGAATCATTGAAATTATGTTCAATTGGTTTATTTCACAAAGTAAGGATCATAGACAAACATAGAGTGCATACTTGGTGTATGGCAAAGCTATTGTTTAAGAAAAACATAGTGTACATGCTTGGAGCATGGGACAACTAGTGTTTTTAATTCAAGTATAAAGTTGATAAAACCGAAACAATGAATAATGAGTAATCAGTATGGTGATAAATAAAAGTGTTTATTTATATTCATAGGGTTTGATACCATATTTGATTAATTTATTCTTGTGTTTCACTTTGCATGTTTTGACTTCCAGAATAACTAAGTCGCTCTTCCTGAATGATTAAGTTATTCAAACCATCCACAGTCGGTCATATGTTGGAAGTAGATATGAATCAAGACTGTCATGGGTTGGTTTGTAGAGGTCCAAGTTGGTGGACAAAGTGGTGCTACAACACTCATGAGTGCTCATAAGTTCTGAGTATTGGATTCAACCCGCGCTCATTTGAATCACTTCATGGATTTTATCACGAGTGATCATGAGACGATAATATCTTATATTCTTCAAACCTAGAGATATGAGTTGTTACTAGAATTAATTAAGTGATCAAAAAGAATTAATTAAATATGGACTCTTATATATATGGAATGGGCCAAGTTCATTTAGGTTGGGCTAAGCTTTCATGGATGGTCCATGGAGCTTTTAACCCATGGATCCTATGTAAATGAAAGGTCATGGGTATTAGGGTTTACATGGATGTAACCCTAATCCTCCATAATATATAAAGGGGTCCTTGGCTCATAAAATTGACACAAGTGTGTGAAAATAAGAGTGGGCCGATTTTAGTGTGCATACATATTCTCTCAAGTTCTTCCAAGGTGTTTTGGTGATTTGTGATTCCATTTGAGGCTTCCACACTATTGGGGCTAAGCTCTTAAAGCTTGAAGACATCAAGCTACATCAAAAGGTATGTGATCTAACTAGAACTTTGTAGTATAGGTGCTTCATAATATGCTAGTTAGGATGAAACCTTGGAATAGTTAATATTTGCATGTATAATAGAGAAAACATAGATCCAAGGTTTATAGGGTTGCATGTACACCATAGGAGTGTTAGAATGCTCAAAACCCAACACTTAGGTGTAAGACCATGTGGAGAGCCCATGACATCGTGGAGTAAGACCCTGGGGACGAGCCCACGGCATCCGTATATGTTGATATGCATGGATATGTGATTGATATGGTTTATGTAGCTTTTATAGCTAATATGGATTATGTGATTATGTGGACAATGTGGGGTATGCTCTGGGGAACTCACTAAGCATCGTGCTTACAATTTTGTTTATTGGTTTCATGTATCATTGATTTGGAAAAGAAGGGCTTAGATTGATCGCAGTGCACACACCCATGTTTTCCGCATTGAATGATTTTGGGATGAACTCTGATAAATGTTTTAATTAACAATATTTTGGATGTTGGCATAAATGATATCTATGTTTTGTCTATATTAAAAAAAATGAAATTTTTACCCTCGATTTTTGGGTTGTTACATATATTGTAGTAATAAATGTTTAGTATTTAATAATCAGCACTGAATGAATATGCAAATCATAAATGAATAATATTGTGCAACATACTTACAAACACCACAACATAAAATAACAATAATGTGCACACAATATTAATCATGTTAATCATAAATGTTTGACAGATTCTATTTCCTTATTTAATTATTCAAAATTAATGTAAAATAAACCATATATAAACAGATGAAAATATTACTTATCATTTTATTCTAAAGTACCAAACCAAGATTACCATAAACCATTGTACGTTAGACAAACAAACTTAATATTCTTCACATACAAAACCAGTGTTTTAAAGATATCCAAAAGAAACCATTAAAGTCATAACTAAAGGCATATTCTGCACATAATTAACTAAAATCATCTAATATTGTGTGAATTTGTTCCTTTGCAATACTCAACATTTCAGAGCGTTGTCTTGAAGGAATCTTGTGGAATTGATCAACCTTTTGAAGCACAACATCCTTATGCACATTATATTCTTGAGTGATGATTTTGTATAAATATTTTGTCCTCAACTTAGCAAGTTGATCATCTTTTGCAAGAGATTTGTTCTTGAACCCAACTTTAAACTCATTCATACTTCCACCCATATACGTTTCCATGTGACGCCTTGTGAACACACCACAATCAATGTGGTTGTTTATTGTTCTCCAAGGCATTTCCAGTCTATGTGGCATCAGATGTGACATCTCAGTTTTTGGATGATTCTGAGATCTTAAGTAATCAAGTATGTACGTTTTCTGAAAATGTTAAAAAAAAGTTGTTAAGATATATGAAATGTTATTTAATAATTAATGTAACTTTATTGATCACTTACGATGATATGGGACAATTGACCATATTTTACATCAATATCATCAACTTTGCTGTTGTCAATGATTACAAACTCTGGGTGTTGTAGATTGATTACAAAAAGGAAAATGTGGAAGGAACGGACAACCGGTAGGAAAAGCTGGAAAATGGAGTAATTTAAAGGTATTCAATTTATTTTATATTTATATATGATTATTAATAAATTAACACTAAAAATATTAACATGTTCATATATGTATCTTACCAAACCAACACAACGTAGTGTTGAATCCATATCTTCAATAGAAAGCAAAAGATTCTCAAGGAATTTAGCTGTGTTAACTTACGTTCTAGGTACAATTCTATAATGTTTTAAAAAGTCATTAGTTTTTTTAAGAAATTGCTTTGAATATATATTTTAATAAAAAATGAATATAAACGAATTATACCGTCAACCCCGTCTTGCAATAATCTCTCAGAGGAGATTCTGGTGCACGCTTACTTTCATCAAGATTCAACACTTGACTCGAACAATCAATAACATGACCAAATAGTTCACACGTAGGAAAAAAACTTTCCATATGAAACCTATGTGCAGAAAAACCATCCAGACTGTGGAAAACTATTTCACTGCAAAAAACGGGACCGATTGTTACATTTTTTAAAATTTAACCGAATAAAGTAACTAACATTAAACATATGTTAAATGGAAATTACATTGGCTCTGTTGGAGAGAGAATATCCAGTCTGCTACACGTTATTCTGGTCGTGGAATTCCTTTGGTGATATCAACAACCTGTATAATGTAAGGAGATTTGAGATAATCGGACTTCATGCGAGGCCTGTCCCCTCTTCTATTAAACCCCTTCTGTTCATTTATGAATGGAACAACAGACAAATGAATTGGCATTTCCATTTTAGATGGTGGTGTACTATGAAAAGACTTTCTTCCAGATCCATTCACGAAGTCTGCATAATCCTTTGACATTTGAATAATGCAGTTTGTTATAGGTGAGTTGTCAAACTGTTTACGAGATGTTGCAAGAATTGGTGAACGTTCGATTTCTGCCTCGTTACCATACCACCATTGAGATTGAACTGGTTCCTCTGATGTTGCAACTTCTTTAAATAGTTCATTTAATTTTTTTTCCATTCTTGGACCAATGGATTCTCAGGGTATTTCTTGACAGAATCATTTATTTTATCTTCAAACACTTGCTTTTGATGCATGAGCATATCGTGCATCTCCTTTATTGTTGAAAGAGTGGCCTTTTAAAGCCAACACGATGTAATTATGTACAAACCAAATAAAAACATAAATATGTCATAAAATATTAATTAATACTATATTAATGCATCATTCACATGTGAATATAATGGTAAACTACCTCAACTATGTCACCACTTCCACTGAAATCTTCTTTTCCTTCATTTCCCTATGAAAATTAATAAATTAAGACTTTGTGAATTGAACATAATAGTATATTAAGCATTATATAAACCATTTAAGATTATATAAGTTAACCAATATTAATCACTTCTGAATTTAATAATTCAATACATGAATTTATTTGTTTAAACATGCATAGATTATTTATTAACGATTATATCATACTAATACCTTAAAGCTTCCATCACTTAATTTCACACCTTCTCCTGCTTCATTTGCCTATCAATATGTATGAATAGAATTAATCCTTAAACAAAATATTAAAGTATAAATCTATTATGCATTATTGAATATAATAACATAGTACCTGAACTGCTTTATGAACTATATTACAAGTAGCAACTGATTCATTGATGACTTGAAAGGGTTCTGGCAATTCACCCATACCCAAACCTGTTGTCCTACACTCAACTCTTTGTCGCTCATGCAGTTTATCAACATTCCAAAAACATACTGTTGGTCCGCCTCGTACAATCTTTACTGAATCGCATCACACACTTTCTACATATAGCAGCTACAATAGACACAAACAAAATTTTAAGTAAGTAAACACAATTTAATGAATTTGTACACGTATTCATTTATTGTGAATCATTTAAGATAATGCATATGAAAAATTAATATATTTTGAAATACATCTGAATTGGGTACTAAATATTACCAAAAGAAATATAATTGGCCCAACATAGAATCCTTTTTTGTTGTATGGATTCCATGCACTTCTTATGTCCTTAAGGCAATCAAAAACATATCCACACCAATCGATGTCACTTAGATCCAGGTCTTTTGTAGCATTTGATAACATGGAAAGGCCACATGTTCCCATTGTCATTGACTGGCCTAGTGTATTACACATCAAAACAAAGATGTTTACTTTAAAAAGTAAGTCTGCATGTGTTGTTTGCATAATAGCTTGTTGAACTGCCCTTGGTCTAATATTATCTTCATCATTGAATTGTTTCTTCCAAACAGTGATCGTGTCATCTGTAACCTGTCTATATGTCATCGACTTTATTGCAACATTCCCTAAAGGCAAACCCAACAATTCATAAATTACCTCCCGATTTATTGGTATATCACCATGATGAAGCCTGATTACCATTCTATCTGCATCAAAATTCCTTACCGTATAATGCCTAATAATTGATGAACACCCATCCACTTTCATATTTAACAAATGCCCCTGACCAATAGAAGAAAGATATGATTCATGTTTCTCGCTAAGGTTATGCATACAATTGTACAATACATTTGGTGATATTCGTACTTGTATTCGCCTTGGTTCTTCTGCATTAGTATCTACAACTTTAGGCACTTTTCTTGCTTTCCCTACATTTCCTTCATTATTCTTTCGCCTCTTTTGTACAACTTCATTTTTACTTAATTTCTTCACACGTTCTTCATTTTCATTTTTGAATGAAGTACCATGCATATTTTTTTTCCTAATAACCACAGGTTGAGCATCTTCAAAATCCGAGTCCTCATCGGCATCAAACTTCATCACCTTAACCTTACTTTTCATCAGTGTTGCAGAAATCGGCCTTGGCGGCCGATTGATCGGCGATTAATCGCTTGGCGGCCTTAAACCGATTATGACTAGAGTGCTTGGCGGAAATTGGTCAAAATCGGTCAAAGTCGGGCTTGGCGGTCTCGGCTACCATAGGCGGGAATTTTTTTAAAAATTCAAAAAAATTTAATTTTCAAATATTACAACAAAATTTTAAATTTTCAAAATTTTAAGCTTTGAAATCTAAAAATATTAAACTAAAGTTTTCAAATTTTTAAGTTTTTAAAATTTTAAATTTTCAAATACTCAGTTTTTTATGGAATATTAATTTTTTAAATAATTTTATTAATAATTAAGGGTCCCCGATTAATCCCCGCCTAGTCCGATTAATCGCTTATCGCCAGTCGACCACCGAGCTACCGCCGAGCGATTTTTACAACATTGCTTTTCATATTATATTCTTCTGTTAATACATATAAAACAATATAAATGATTATAACGAAATACCGAACTAAACTTCAAATAATCTTAATCTTAACTAATGATTACTTGAATCTGAGTTCAAAAACAACAACTTCAAGACCCTCTCTTTTACAACTGTCAAACCGTTTTTTTGTTCTCAGTTCATTTTCCATCTGTATTTTTTTGGTGTCTGGTCTACACTTTCATTCCAACCTGTCAAGATATAGGCAATATAATCATTATAGAATACAATTGAAATACAATTTTCATGATAGATAATCATCATTATGTAACATCCCAAAAATCATGACCGAAAATTTTCATTTTAAACATAATGTTTATAAAACCATTTGTTTGAAAACCATAGTATCATGTCATATCAAAAGCAGAGTATCAATAGCCAAATCATATCATGATAAAACGATGTCATCATATAGTGACAATGTCAGAGTAAATTCCCAAGAACATCATTGTGCGAAAAATAGTGGTGTGATGCGCTGCTACCGTGCCGACTCCTTTCCCTTCGAAGAAGAAGGACCTGAAACAAAAACTGTAAACCGTAAGCATAAAGCTTAGTGAGTTCCTCCATCATACCATATACCATACATAGCACATACTGTCTAACATATTTGGGTACTAGCTACCCCTTCGGTCTCTTTCAATCGGTAACTTTCCTCGCATATCAGGGTGCTGGCCTACCCCTTCGGTCCTGTCGACCGGTACCTAGCCTAGCATATCAGGGTGCTGGCCTACCCCTTCGGTCCTGTCTACCGGTACCTCGCCTAGCATCTCAGGGTGCTGGCCTACCCCTTCGGTCCTTTTGACCGGTACCAGGGACTATTTCACCCCTACTTCTACCACATAACATCCTAGTGCATAAACATATAAATCATATACTACCTAGCTTATCCGGGTGCTAGCATACCCGTTCGACCCTATCGACCGGTAATGGGGTCTATCCTACCCCTCCTACCATTATCACATAACATCATAGCGTACTAGCACACAAAGCATAACATTCCAGATAATTATCACAAAGACAATCATCTAACAACCAACTCCCACTAGTGGGCCGACATTGTGGCCTTAGACCCAACTCTACTGGAAGGTAACTCACCTCAATGTCGTGAAGCAGCTGAACGGTCCTCGGTGCTGGGATCAACTCTCCTCAAACTCCTACACATAACATCTCTTTTAATTACTCTTTCAAACTTATAACCTCTTTAAGGGTTAACTCTGGTCAATGGTCAAGTCAAAGGTCAACACTCAGGTCAAAGTCAACATTCTCGTTGACACAACTCGCCGAGTTGGTCCGTCAACTCGCCGAGTTCCATGAGTCAGAGAATCTCGAACTCGTGATCTAACTCTTCGAGTTACCCTCTAACTCGCCGAGTTTCTCCTTATGAAAGAATCGGGACTTTCCGTTTGAACTCGTCGAGTTCTTCCTTGGACTCGTCGAGTTCTTCTTCATACAAGTCGGGGCATTTCACTCGCAACTTGCCGAGTTCATCCTTGAACTCTTCGAGTTCCTCTTCATATATGTTGGGACATTTGTTATCAACTCGCCGAGTTCATCCTTGGACTCGTCGAGTTCTTTGATCTTCAAGTCCATAAACACGTCTAACTCGCTGAGTCATCTTCTAGACTCAACAAGTTTTCTCAGTAACAGAAAAGTTTGGGGAACCACAACCCAACTCGCCGAGTCCTAAGAACGGCTCGTCGAGTTCCCCAAAGTCTAAATCCATACAGTCGATTTTAGTCGGGCTTAATGCATCAAAAACGTAGATCTGGCCTCCTAGGGTCGATATAACACGTAAAGTTACAAACTTTACGTCCATGCATGGGTTATCTAGCTCAAATGGCCTTAAAATGAGGTTCACAAGTTGCATCGGACTCCCTGTAACGCCCGTGTTTCGGGGCTAAGCATTAATAGATGACGTAATAGTCTAGGTCAACTATTGTAACTCTTTTTGAAGTAATAAAAATGAATTATTTGAGTATTATGTGAATTTATGTGCTTTATACTTAATTATAAATGTATAATTAATAAAGAATAAAAATAAGTGTCAAAATTAAAGTGTGAGATAAACCTGATATCTTTACATAAAGTGGTGGTGGTCGAAACAAGGATTCCGGGGATATAAAGAACGCCCAAATCTGACTTCGTATGAGGAAGTTATGATTTTTCTAAGATTTGGCACAGCAGTGCACGGCCCGAAACTCGAATTTTAGTTCGAGCGGTTTTTGGCTTACACGACCTAAATAAGAGTTGAAAATATCATTAATAGGAACTCAACGACAAAAAGACAGACGAAAACGGATTCCGTGTGTAAAAGTTATGAATTTTACGCGGAAGTTTAACAGTGTAATCACTTCCTACTGTTAAATTTAAGATCGGTCGAGAATTAGCCGACGGAGTAAAAAGGAAAGTTGTAGATTTTATTTTTACCAACGCGTGGATATAAATAACGTCAAAAACGGAGCTCGTATGCGAAAGTTATGGACGGAGCTTAGTGTCTACTTTTCGAGCGCGGCGAATTCGATACTGTTTTGTAAATCCGAGATAGAATGAGAATTAGCCAACGGGGTCTAAATGAAAGTTATAGTAATCGTAAATACCAACGCGTGGATATAAATAATGTCAGAAGCGGAGCTCGTATGCGAAAGATATGGACGAAGCTTAGTCGCTACTCTTCGTGCGCGATAAATACGATACAGTTTTTGTAAATTTGAGATAGAAGGAGAATTAGCCGCCGGGTCTAAATGAAAGTTGTAGTACTCGTAAATACCAACGCGTGGATATAAAGAACGTAGAAAACGGAGCTCGTACGCGGAAGATACGGACGAAACTTAGGGGATACTTTACTATAAAATCCCTATAAATAAAGGGTGAACTCTTCATATTTTCTTCACACCATAAGCCTTTCTTTCTCTCTCTAACTTCTCTCTAGCCTCCCTAAACCCCTCCCAAGTCTAGGGAACCTCCCTAGCACGAGAAGGAAGCCCCGGAGCGCCCGACGGCTCCGAGAAGAAAAGCTTTCGACTCGGAAACGCTGCTCCAGCGAAGCCCGGTTTTTAATAAAAACCCGCTGTTTTGTCGAGGAAAATTGTTTTAAGAGTAACGAAGCGTTGTCTGGGTGCAGAGTCACCATCTTTTCAGGTGAGTGCATAGTCACTTTCATCTTACACATAGATATGAAGTATTTAATATAAATTACGTGCTATGTGTGCATATTGTCTGAATACTTGTTGTCTATGCTGATGAAAGATTTTTATACATGTTTTAAATGATTTAAACTGTATATGTATTTTATATCTACAAAATGTTGGGGTAAAAAATGGGTAGATGTAATAGACGATGTGTGATAAAATGATGAGAGGCCTCGATGTTGTTGTTGTTGATTCTGTCATCTAGCGGAGTATGGATGACAACCACAGACTCTTCTAGACAGTCCAGTGGAACGCTAGCAGGCTCGCAACCTGTAGGTGTTTGTGAACGATGTGTTCACCGGTGTAATCCATCCCCCTCATGGTTGCCTTTAGGACATTTATTGCTGAGGAACCCCCTTAGCAGTAGTGTCCATCCCGATGATGATCCTTAGGCTAGGTCCCTTATGATAGGTGTTTAAGGACGTAAAGTGAGGATAACGGGAACGGGTAATCGGGTTAATGTTGGTTGATGAAATTAAATAACTTATTTATTGTGGGTTGAAAACCCTATGTGCTCACTAGGCTCCCAAGCCTGACCCACTCAGTTTTATGTATTACAAGTAGTGGCGTTCGAGCATAGATGTGATGTTTTGGATGAGGGATTACGGATATAGGCCTGTAGATATGAAATAATATAGTAAGACTTATTTTGTACTGTTTATGCTTTTGATCTGTATCGAACATGACATCCCAAGTCTTTTTAATGAAATACATTTCTACGGAAATGCTTTGATAAATTTTTATCATATTTTTATTTTGGGAACAAATTCCGCAACACTTTTATGTAAAACGTTACTCTAATTTTCAAACAAGCATAAACAAAATCGGTCTTTTCTGGTCGTGAAAATGGGGATGTCACACTCCCATGGCCATAAAGTTGACACCTTTATGCCATGGAGTCCCTCAAAGGTTCCAGATCTGAAGTCAATACCCCAAAACATGCTTTCATCCATGAATGGTTCCAAAGTATGCTCCTTAAAGCCCTAAACTACTCCATGAAGAGAGCTAGTAAATGAATAGTCAAGGTATAGACTTTATACCTCATATGAACTGGAAATGGAGCACAAACTCTGGATCTACTTGTTCCCTCTTGATGCCCCAAGCTTACTCTTCCTTCTCAAGCTTTAAAATCACCAAGAACACAACAATGGCTCAAGAACACTCACAATGGGTTAGGGTTTTGAATTAGGGTTTTCTGGACTAAGGGAGGCGACGAGGGAGGCCAAAATGGGGTGTTAAGGTCTTTAAATAGGGTGCAAACCCTAAAAATTAGGGTTTCACTCTGGCAGCCCTACTCGTCGAGTCGAGGCTCCTCGACTCGTCGAGTAGACTTCAAGTTCCGC